CTTTTCCTTTCATACTTCTTACAGTGTACCATAACATGTTCAATTATTTCTTGTTGCTCACAGTATTCACACATACTGGTGTTTTGTTTACCTGTTTTAAACAAAGTAAAGTTTAATCCTGTGTGCCCAAATCTAAGTCTTGATATAATTGTTTCTTCTCTTCTGTTCCTTCCTGCACATCTCCTCTGAATCATAAAAAACGCCGTCCTTTCCTCTCTCTTCTCATTGCTTTTGCAACCTTACCTTCAATCTCTGTTTAATGATGCTCTTTGTTTCCATCATACTAATTTTAACTGACAGATCGAAGGCTTCTCTTTTTGTAGCTTCCTTTGCAGCCTTATCTGCCATTTCATTTCCTTTAACTCCCCTATGTGCTGGTACCCATACAAATATGACTGTTATGCCCATCATTTCAATTCTTTATAATGTTCGCTGGATTTCAATCAGAATATCTGCTCTGCTATCTGAGTGACTTCTCTGTAAACTGATTAGTGATGACGATGAATTTGACCAAATAACCACGCTCAGTGGTCCTATTTCATCTACCCATTGCACAGCAGAATTGCAAGCATTTCTGCTGTGTATACTGAGATATTATCACCGGTTCTCTTTCCTATTAAAATAAATAAATAAATAATAAAAGATACTCCTATCTTGGTAACTAAACTTTTTGATGCATCTGTGTATATCTGGATGAAACTGTAGTAACTAATAATATATGCCTGTATTGTATGCGAATCCTGTATTGCATGTAAATTCAAATTACACCTCCTATCCTCATTTTTCTTTTCTAATAGTGTCAGATCTGTGTACTTTCGCTTCAGGTTGTATCCAAGGTGGTACTTGCTTTGATTCTGTTTTATTTTCCTATATTTTAATCATGTAAAGCACTTTGCATTGTCTTTATACTGAATTGTGCCATACAAATAAATTTGCCTTGCCTTGCCTTGCTGGTAATGGTACTGTTGGACTGAAACTTACATCATTTAATTCAAACTCCATTGCTTTTTGTTTAACTGTCCGCCCAAAGCTTTTACTCTCCATTTTCTCCATTTCCCAACAAAATTTTAAAGTGCTTTGTGCTGGATGATTTTCACTATGTCCCTGTAAATTAGCCCAATAATTCAGAGATAACTGAATTCTTCTTAACTCAAGAGCCATTTCACCCATTTCCACCTGTAGTGCTGCTGTTGGAGTTGTTTTAAAAGCCCCTGTACATAATCTCAAAGCCTGGAACTGGATGTTGTCCAATTTTTTTAGAGATGTACTTGATGCTGATCCACACACAACACACCCATAATCCAATACTGATCTAATTAGTCCACAGTAAATTGCCTCCAATGCTTTACTATCAGCTCCCCAATCACTTCCCATTAAACATCTCATAACATTTAACACCGTCCTACATTTGTCCAGTACTTTCTGGATATGTATGCTCCATGTTATACCCTCGTCAAACCATAACCCCAAAAACTGAAATTGTTTAACTCTTTCTAATTCTTGATTAAACAACTTTAGTTTTATGTCAGTACCAATTCTTTACTTTGTAAAAAACATTGTCTTTGTATATTCTACAGACAATTTAAAACCCCATTTATATTACCACTCCTCTATTTTAGCATCTTGTAGTTTCCTTACAATAGATTTCAGATTTCTTCCCCTCTTCCAAATTGCCCAGTCATCCGCAAAAAGTGAAAACATAATTTATTAATATGGAGAATAATAATGTAATTATTAGTATGCTCCCTTGAGGTGTTCCGTTCTCTATAATATATTTCCTTGAGTATTCTTCCCTATTCATGCATTAATCTCCCTTGTAAAAAGAATCCTTAATCCATCTATATATCCGTCCTTTGATACCTAATTTTGAGAGTCTAATTAACAGTCCTTCTCTACACATCATATCATATGCCTTCTTTTAAAGAAGACAGCCACTACACTTTCTTTGTTTACTCGTGCCTTTCTAATTTCATGTTCTAAACATACAGCTCGATCCATTGTATTTCTGATCCTTCCCTAAAACCACTTTGGTATTTGGCTATATATCCTTTTTTTTCCCATATGGTATGTTAACCTTTAATTTATCATCATCTGTTCTATCATTGTGAAAGGTTTGTTTAATAAGTCATTAGAATCTTCTTCTTGTTGTAACTCTTCATTCTCCCTCACTCCCCCCCCCCCCCCCCCCCCCCCCCCCCCTTTTCACTAATATTATTTGAGCTGTGGCTTGTTCCTGTCACCTCGAGCTCTCCTACACCTTTATAGAGCAGAGGAGCTACTGCTCATGTATGGTTGACAGTGCCTGCAAGCATAGATATCCATAATAAAGGCTAGATGTCTCGTCCGCGCTGCTGGCCAATGGGGGTCGACGTCCGCACGTGGCGGCCATCTTACCACAGGCAGCTCGCTCATTCGTAGCATTGTGTTTCAATGGCGCATGTACTGAAATAACCATACCTTCCTCAATTGTCTAACTATTCTCAAACTGTTTGGTTTGTTAAAAAAAAGTCAGACATGTAGTTGTGATACTGCGCACTTAGGAATAATTATAACCATGGAATTTCATATGAAAAGAACACTGAATAGAACATACAGGTGCAATAAATATACACATGCACAAGGTATTTATGTTAAATCAATATATGCTATTAAAACTCAGTGTACAGAATGGCAACCATATATATATGGTCCCAGAAATATATATATATATATATATATATATATATATATATATATATATATATATATATATATATATATAAATTGTATATATAATATATATATATACATAATATATATATATATATTGTATATATAATATATACACATATATATATATAATATATATATATTTTATATATAATGTATATATACAATATATATATATATATTGTATATATAATATATATATACAATATATATATATATACAATATATATATATATATATTGTATATATATATAATATATATATATATATATATATATATATTGTATATATATATATATTGTATATAAAATATATATATATATATATATATATATATATATATATATATATAAACACTTTTATTTGAGTGTGATTAATTATTTCACAGTCCTAATTTATTTATATTTACATAAATACTTTTATAATATAAATATTACTGTTATAATAAATTTGAAATACCGACAAAAAAGGCTTATTGTGTGGCAACCTCTTGGTGTAGAATCATAATCCAGGTTTCAAATTAAAGGTAACACTGTGAAGTTTCATGTAGACTATTCGGATTATATATCAGGGGTAATTACACAAAAGTTCCTATTTTTAAACCATTATAAAAGTGAAATTTATTTGCTATTAAAATTGGTACAATAGTCCCCTTCACAAGTATATATAGATGTAGCATGTTGAAATCCCCACCTACACTACTGTGATGGTATACACATGGAAGACAGAGATGAAAAAATGACCCAAAAAACATAGCTTGGTTAATGCCCTTTGAAAAGGACGGTTTTATTGTGTTTCTGTCGCATGTTGTTGCTCTGTAAGCCAAGGTTGGTTATTTTGGCAATGTGGTGCAGCCTTAACTTAAAAAACAAGGACACAACCAATGTTAACAGCGTATGGTGGTGGCTGTCTATGCCATACTGCGTTTCTCCGATGTGCTCTCCAAGCACAAACACATCCTCTGACCCTATCCTCTTCCGTACAATGTACACGACCTCTAGCACTTTGATGGGCTGTGATCGTCTGGTACATGAGGTCTGACGAAGAACCCACTCTGCTGCCCTGACTACCATCACTGTGCCTTCTGATGGAATCACCAGACCTCCATTGTTTTTTAACTTCAGCAGGTGGTAGCTCTGGTCCTTGATGGCAGATGCAGCATCTGTTACCAAGCTGGCACGGCAGACATCACAGGACAGCTTTTTCAGAGCCCGTCGCACAACAAATCCTGAAATAAGAGTTGGTATATTAAAATAATTTATAATAACCATGGGGAAATTAAGGGAACATTTATCTTTTTGGGCCATTGGGATATTAAGTCATAGCCCCGCTGTTCCTGTGTACCAGAGCCTGTATTGTACATACATCCACTAATTAACTAACGATTATCCCAAAAAACAATCATAATTTCTTATCTTAGATGTGAAAGGTGATCCCACTGGCTCTCGTTTTGACATTACGGCGATTGGAGCATCCGTAGGCTGCACAAAAGTCTGGCATCTTCCTATTAATAGACCCAGCAAATTCCTGTAACATAATGTAAGATCTTTTAACAAACCAAATCGATTGGAAATCATGCATTAATCATGTATAAATTCTGCCTCTTCCACTGATGTAAAGTTGCTGGTTAACGTTAGCAGCTAGCTAAACTGTAACGTTAGCTGCTAACTTACTAACTTTAGGTCTCACTTCGCAGCTTCTTGTTATTAGCCAGCTAACGTTAGGCTAATAACGAACATACAACAACACTCAGATTATTGTTATTAGCCAACTAATAACTACAACCACATCCACAAAGATTGTAATTTACACCAAAGATGAATTGTCATACAATCGTTATTGGTGTCAGTAAAACCTATATAATTGACTAATAGTCTCAGCCTTGATAACTTGCGCAAGTAGCCGTGATGCACAACTATGCTGCACGATCAAGTCATTTTTCGACAAGAAAATCTGCAATTTCGACATGTTCAAGCATCAAGAATTATAGCCACGTTCATAACGTTTGTAAGAAACCAAACTGTTTGTAAATCCGTCAAGAATTCAGTGAGATAAGAGTATTTGTGTTTGTGCTGATCACTCACCTTACATTAGGTACCACAGAGCACAACAGAAATCCTGCCTGTGGTAAGATGGCCGCCCGGTGATGACGTTTGAGACTCCGCCGTAAGACATCTAGCCTTTATTATGGATATCTATGCCTGCAAGAACTTGCTGAGGGTAAAACTTTCCCGGCGCAGAGGGCTGCCCACACCGCCTTTTCTGTAAAAAGCACGACTGTTCTAACCGGATGTGACGTATATTATGTCTAACAATTACGTTTAACAGAAAAAAGAAGACGCATCAGGACCATATCTGTTTTTATATTTTTGTATTTATTATTATTAAATGTGCTAATATGTTTTTGGCCAGGCAGCTGTTTGGGCAGCTTTAACTGGAGAGGAAAGAATTTACCGTGGTTTGGACCGAGGCGGATTGTTTTAAAGCAAAACCTGCTAGTTTTCAACTCCGCTCCATGAATGAAGTTGGTCTGAGCCTGGCCTGGTTCGGCCACTAATTTACACCATTTATTCTTCATTTTTTAATCGTGAAGCTGAAATCTATTTTTTGTTTATTCGTCTTTATTACGACGAATCAGTCAGGTAAGCTAACAAAAGCTAACAGGCGCAGAATTACTGTTTTGTACCGGTTAACCACCTAAATGTCACTTCTTCGGCTACTGGGCCTGAATATTGGTTAAGTTCAGCTGCATATTTTGGGTAAGGAGGCTGTATTGTTAAAAAAAGATAAAGAAAAACATCGATTACGTTCTAAAACTTCTTTAAACCGAATCAAGTTTAAATGGGCTAGCATTTAAAGGAGCTTCTACATGGATCAACATCTTTAACTTATTCTAAATGGTCCGATCATCAGATTGATTTAATATTTTAAATCCATTCTATTAATGTTTATTGGTATATATTGGTCTGTAGAATATTTCCAGGACTGAAAGAGTTCAGCTCCCATAAGGAAACTTTATTCAGATCGAATACATCACAACACACCATTCATTTGAATGAATGGAAAGAGTTGCTGAGGTGTTGAGATTTAAAGGGAAATATTTCCTTTGTCCTTGATGCTCATTCTTGTTTTTATTTGTCTCACTAAGACGAAATCAGAAAATATGCTTAATCATTATCAGTATTGTTATAATAATACTCAGTGACAGTATTCCAGTAAAATGGTCTGCTGATGGTGGGAGGTTCTGATCTGGTTCTGATCTGGTCCAAATTTAGAGTAATGATGAGGATTAAAATGTCATGAAAGAGCTAGAACAGACGCCAGAGGTTCTGAAACATTGATGAGCGTCTTTCATAAGGACTGATGGTGTTATCAGGCAGTACCTGAAGCATGCAACTACAGCCAGTCTGATGGTATCACACTGAGGTGGTTGTGACCCCTTCTTCATTACACAGACTCTGCATCACACTGACAATACCAAACCAAAACACTGTCTATTTGCACCATATATATTTAATGCTCTAAACTTGCACCATGTTTTTTTTTCTTCCACACTGTTTAAGTTTGATCACTGCTGCATTTTATGCAATGGAAAAATGATCTAGAAATACGTAAAAATCCCTTAAATGAAGTGTATTTACCCTTAATTTGAGTAGGTAAATGAGATAGAATGAGTATTTTTATTCTTTAATAAAATAGTTAGATAACATACACTTGAAATGAGACAATGCAATTGTGTTTTCTTATTTTAAATGTAAATTGTCTTGTTCCATTGGCAAAATGTCTCTTTTTAAATGCACTTATTTTAAGAAAAAATTAATTACCTAGCTGGTGATTTTATTTTCCGGTGCGTATACAAAAATTACAAAAGTTCTAGGTTCTTGATAACCAGTTGAGAGGAAAGTGAAATATGCTGGTTTGTTCCCAGTATATGGGAGAACTAAACAACACCTGGAACATCTTTTAACCCAGAACACAATGTTTAGAAATGATAAACTGATCTGATCAATAATCTAAAGCCTAAAGAGCCGTGCCTGTTTCCCCAGGTGAGTCGTCCACCTGCCCTGGTTCTTCTTCTTTGGTTGCATCATGGAGCTGGCTTATGTGTGTGAGTGGGAGAAACGTCCAAAGAGCACCCACTGCCCATCCATCCCTCTGGTCTGCTCCTGGTCCTGCAGGAACCTGATAGCCTTCACCACAGACCTGAAGAATGACGACGATGACAAAGGTACGCAGAAACCACAGAGACACAAATTCTTTGAGTGGATATTATCACAAAATTATGAGGTTAACAATCAGAGCTGACCGCCTGCCAGAGGGCTTAAAGCAATGCATCTGAAAAAGAAATTACAGAAATCCTAAAAAAGTTTCCACCACCCTGAATGTCTCTTTGTAGTTCAACTGAGGGTCTCTACCAGGAAAAATCAACCTTTTGGGGTTTTTAACTGTTATAATGCTTCTAATTCACCTGGCCCATCATCAAAACCGTTTCAAAGGGGTAATGTGCTTGATTTATTAATGTCTGAGGAGAAATCCTCATGAATTAAGTTCCCTGAGCAGCAGCCCCCCCCAGTCCTGGAAAAACGGAAGGCCGTAACAAGTTTACAAAGAGTAGTTATCACACACACTCCTCTAGGAAGCAACCACCTTAAATAAGTGCATTCTGTTCAACAAACACAGTTGTTTAGTGGCTAACCTCACAGTGACAGCAACTCCTCCTTTTAGTTGCTTTTTTATGTCTAAAATGTTTTTTAGCAGCTAAAGGTTCCAAAGCTTTGACTATGTTCAGCCTTCCTAAAGAGGAGCACCACAGACTACTCCATCATGCAAGAAGCAGTTTTCATTATATACACACGTAAAGTTGGATTAAAAAAGCAGAATGGGACTTTTAAGTTACGTTCACACTGCAGCCTGAAGTGACCCAAATCCGATTTTTTTTTGCCCATATGCTACCTGTATCTGATATTTTCATGACAGTCTGAACAACACAGATCCGATTTTTTCCAATGCGACCCAGGCCACTTGGCTATGTGGTCCTGAATCTGATATGTATCTGATCTTTTCAAATGCGACTTGTGTCTGAACGGCCAGGTCACATTCATCTGACCTGAACGCCGTTAATACCAAAGGTCACTATTCTGGGTCTCGCTATGAAGAAGCGGCAAGAAAAAAAAACAACCATGGCAACAAATGATGCGGAGAGCAGTATTTATGCTTAACCATATTGAAAAGATTGTGTTTTATGGTTGGGATAGATCGCTAGATGCGCTCCGGCAATACCATCCATCTTTACTTCCATAAAAACAGAGCGCACTGGCCTGTGACGTCATTGCGTCCTCTACTGCGCATGCGGGACACTTGTGTTGTATGACTGCAGTTCCCACAGGAGATCGCATAGAAGTCGCATAGAAGAACGGCAACGCAAAAAAATTGGATTTCACAAAAACTTTGGAATTGGGCATCAAGGCCTGCAATGTGAATGTAGCCTTAGACAACTGTACCATCCACCTGATTTCTACATTCCCAATCAGTTTCAATGCGCTTGAATCTAGGGTCTGTGGACTTTTTATATCCTCTTTATGTCCGAGTTGGGACCAACTTCTGGTGTTTACTTCTAACACTGATGGGAAAGATGGCGGAATCTGAAGGATGTTGGTCTGGAGTTGATCTGCTGTGTTTTTTTAGCGATAGTAGATGGTGACCGAAAGACAATCTCCAAATTCCTCAGACTTCCTCCAGAGCCCCACAAAGACCCAGAAACAGCCACAGAATTTCCCAGAGATCCATTCAGGCCTATTTAGGCTCCGCCATGTTTGTCTTTCAGATGTCAGTCACATGATCCACATCATCGACACCGAGCACCCCTGGGACATGTTCTCCATCAACTCTGGCCACAGTGAGGTCATTTCCTGTCTGGAGTGGGACCAGTCAGGTAGGTTTGCAGATGTCAGCTGGTTTTCCTGCTGGTGGTCAGGTTATATTACTTCTAGGTTCTGAAGGTTTCTCTTAACTGAAGCCCTGTTCTTGTCGGGTTCTGAAGGTTCTCGGCTGCTGTCCGCTGATGGTGACGGTCAGATTAAGTGCTGGTCCATGTCGGACCACCTGGTCAACAGCTGGGAGTGCGCCTTCTCCAGCTCTGTGGATGGAGATCCCATCGTGGCTCTGAGCTGGCTGCACAACGGTGTCAAACTGGCCCTGCATGTCGAGATGGTGAGGTCACTTCCTGTCAATAATTGCCAGTGGGTTAATGCGGAGCGTTGAAATCCTTCATCCTGTCTCCTCTCATTTTAGTCTGGCTCCACCAACTTCGGGGAGAAGTTTTCCAGGGTGAAGTTCTCTCCGTCTATGACTCTTTTCGGCGGGAAGCCGATGGAGGGCTGGTTGGCGGTGACGGTGAGCGGTCTGGTCAGCGTGTCGCTGCTGAAGCCGGGCGGCGCTCTGCTGACGGCCAGCGAGAGCCTGTGCCGGCTGAGAGGCCGCGTGGCCTCGGCCGACATCGCCTTCACCGGCGGCGGGAACATCGTGGTGGCGGCCACCGATGGCAGCAGCTCCTCCCCGGTCCAGTTCTACAAGGTGAGAGGGAGACGGTGTTTGTTGCTACGGTTACCTGCCTCTTAGGAGAGCTAAATTATTTGCTGTGTGCGTTCAGGTGCAGGTGAGCGTTGTGAGCGAGAAATGTCGCATCGACACCGAGCTGCTGCCATCGCTGTTCCTGCGCTGCACCACCGACCCCATGAGGAGGGACAAGTACCCGGCCGTCACCCACCTCAAGTTCCTGACCCGGGAGAACTCGGAGCAGGTGAGCAGTGCCAGTAGTTAGAGACGGAGGTGGGCGGGAGCCAGCGTCTGATGGCTGGGCTGTGTTTCAGGTGTTGCTGTGTGCGTCCAATCAGAGCGGCAGCATCGTGGAGTGCTGGTCGCTGAGGAAGGAGGGACTTCCTGTTAATAACATCTTCCAGCACCGCTCTCCAGTTGGTAAGAGAAGCGTCCTGGGTACACTGCTGGTGATGCAGAGCCCCATCCTGACCTCTGACCTTCTGTGTTCAGTGGGCGAGAAGCAGCCGACCATCCTGAAGTGGCGCATCCTGACGACCACCAGCGACCTGGAGCGCGTTTCCACCATGGCTCTACCCAAACTGCCCATCTCCACCTCCAACACCGACCTGAAGGTGGCCTCAGACACCAAGTTCTTTCCTGGGCTCGGTGAGCAGACAGAGCAGAACCACCTGCCTGAAACCATCTCTTAGCCGCAGCGTCTGGTCCGGTTCTAAGAAACTCGCCTGTTCTTGTTCCTAGGTCTGGCTCTGGCCTTCCACGACGGCAGCATCCAGATCCTCCATCGCCTCTCCCTCCACACCATGGCAGTCTTCTATGGCTCCTCCTCCGCCCAGCGGCCTGGAGACGAGGCGGCTATCAAACGGCAGAGGACCGCAGGTCCCGCCCTCCATTTCAAGGCCCTGCAGTTATCCTGGACCTCATTGGCCCTAGCTGGAGTTGACAGCCACGGAAAGGTGAGGAACATCTTCTAACTACTGTTAAAGTGAGAAGGATTTGTCCCCTTGGAAGTAAAGGCTGTAGCGCCCCAGGGGCCTTCTCACCGGTTCTTTTCCTGGGAGCAAGTTAGTTACTACTCTTAACTCAAACTCGTTAAAACCATATAAAAAAGGACTATAAAAACAGGAGTAAAAAAGTAACAGAGTTTATTCCAGATCAGGTCGTTACAGGACAGAGAAAAATGATTAGAGCTATGCACAGCTGTGGTCTCAAAAATCACGTCCGCAAGCGTCCGGCAAAGTTTGAGCCCCGAACAACGTCATCTCCTGCTTCTTATACCTTCTGAGTCTGTGTTGCATCATGTGGATGCTTAGCTGTCCGTATCAGAAACTGACACGCCATCCATGTCTTGAACTCCATGCAGGTTGCCTCTCTGTCTCAGGGTTACAGATACAGCAGCTCTCCTATTAGACCGGCTCCAAGATGAGCCCATATCCTGTGTATTCTTAAATACACGAAGGCTGTCTTGATTAAATGACCTCCGTACACACCACGACATCCACAATGTGAAGGAAGGCCTTCTGCTCTGTCTAATCTGGCTAACAAAATAACAATGCACATGATGTATAAATAATAAAACCTAACACTACTCTATAACAAACTAAAAACTCTTGTTCTCCAGCTGTTGGAGACACAAGGCATTGTGGGATATCTTGGTGCACACAGCCCCAACCTGTACCTGTACCTATGCAGAAGAACCTGAGCTGGGAATGTGAGCAGATCCAGCTCAGTTAAACCAATAATAATCTGAACCTCATCAACACTAAATACTTTGAGACATCATGTGGACCTCGACAACTGTCAATATTAGACATTTTAAGATAAAACTTTTTCTTTAAAGGTCCTATTGCTTTTTTTTTTAAAGCCGATTTATTCAATCATTGCACGCAGCTACAGCTCACACTGTACGACAAAACCGCAGGGTTTCATCGTACAGTTTGAGTTCACAGCTCACGATGTATGTTCTCCCACTGTGCGACCTGACTCTCTGATGCGATCTACCTGCTCACACTGTACATCTAAAAACCACGTCGGACTCAACAATCGGACTCAACAATCCTTCACTGAGCGATTTGCTCAGTGAAAATCAAACATGTTTCATTTTCTCACGATTCCTGATCGGGAGGTGGTCTGAAAGGCTGATCGCCCCTCGTTACCCCCTGTACACGACACGATGCATGACGCACAATCAGGCTGAAAGTCAGACTGATCAGAATATTCTTGCACGACTGGAAAGTCGGTCCGAAAAGTGCAAAAAATCTTACAGTTTAAGGCCAGCTTCAGCCCTTTAAAGGTTACCTGTCGGCAGATGTATAGTAAAATTATAGATCTAGTGCTTCAGATTATTAATGTGAAATAACCTGAATCCCTCTTCTCATCACCTCTGTGCTGTTTGATCCTCAGCTCCACATGCTGCGAGTGTCGCCCTCTATGGGCCAAGTGTTGGACATGAACACCACACTGCGCCACCTGCTGTTTCTGTTAGAGTACTGCATGGTGACGGGCTATGACTGGTGGGACGTTCTGCTGCACGTTCAGCCCACTATGGTCCACAACCTGGTGGAGAAGCTGCACGAGGAGTACATGAGGCAGAACCAGGCGCTACAGCAGGTCAGAACACGCTGTATGGAACCGTCTGTTAAATCAGGTGCGTTAGTCTCCAGTTTTTTTTTTCATCGATTTGGGATCATTTCTCTCTCTCAGGTTCTGGCGACACGCATCGTAGCCGTCAAGGCCTCCCTCTGTAAACTCTCCACGGCAACGGCTGCGCGAGCGTGTGACTTTCACGCCAAACTGCTGCTGATCGCCATCAGCTCCACCTTAAAGTCTCTGCTCAGACCTCACGTCCTCAACACGCCCGACAAGAGTCCAGGTGACCGACTGACGGAGATCTGCGCCAAGAACACAGACACAGGTAAGAGGGGCACCCGCTGAGAACGGCATCAGGTGGCGGCCTCGGCTGATCTGAGCATCATGTCTCCTCAGACATTGATAAGGTGATGATCAATCTGAAGACGGAGGAGTTTGTTCTGGATGGACCTCCTCTGCAGTCGTTGCAGCAGCTCATCCAGTGGGTGGGAGACTTTGTCCTGTACCTGCTGGCAAACCTGCCCAACCAGGTGAGCCAGGTGGGTAAGAACACACAGCAGGTGTAGCCAGATTAATCCTAAAGGATGGAGGACACCATCTCAGATAAACTGAGGCACACAAACGTTAAATCTTCACAGATGAACAGCAATCCTCACCAAAACTAAAACCCTACAAAAGAAAAGCAGCTGTTACGTCTCATTTCTAGTCTTTATGGATTTTCTACCTTGATCCGGTTTTCATTACTGTGTTCTTGGATCAGTAGACACAGGGACAAATGAAGCTGATTCTGATTAAAACCTTCATATAAGGGGAACCATATAAACTGTCAAAGCAATGGACACCTCCATTTAATCTTTTCGATCCAACTTCCCTCCCTGCAGCAGAATAATTTTTAAAGCAGAACTGAATAACCTTTACACTCTGGCTCCTCCTGTTACAATTTGAGAATTGCTGCCATTAAAGGACTGCTAATAGTTCAAGCATTTTTGTTTTTTTAATTGTCATTACACAGTCACAAGTACAGAGCAACGAAATGTACTCTCTGCATTTAACCCATCCCCTTGGGCAGCAGTGGGCTGCCATGGTGCGGCACTGGGGAGCAGTGTGGGGTTAGGGGTCTTGCTCAGGGACCCAGAGTGGCAGGCTGTGGGAGTGGTGCTTCAACTCAGAACCTCAGGATTCCAAGCGCCACGACTTAACCACTAGGCCGCCACTTCCCAAAGCAGGCATTAAGCCGGGCGTACACTGTTGCACGCAGCTGCTGCTCACATTGTACGACTATATGATCTCACAGCTTGTCCAAACATTACAACTCTTGGCAAATTTACTAAAGTTACACAGTACCATCTAGCAAAAGCAATAACTATATTCAGCATAGACATGATCACATACAGCTAACTTTAATTATGTGTCCAACATCAGCAGCATCGCCAGGTCTGCATGTGTTTTTCCATCCTCCTCTTTCTTTTAGCGCTTTCGTCCAGGGAACACTTTGCCCTGGTTCACTGTGTGTGCGCTCTCTCTGGGTCAAGATCCTATTTCCTTTTTCTCTAGCAGACAAACATTTCCCTGCTATTTGGTTCTGCCTAACAATCCTTAAGCTGGTAAAGGTAGTGCTGCCCGACTATTACTTTAATAACCGTCTAAGCTCTGATGTGTGATTGCATGTAGGGCTGGGGGAATAATTGCATTTGCAATATAATCGTAATTTAGAAAAACAGAATTTTATTTTAGCCACATTAAACTTAACATGTGTAAGACGCTAAATTTCTCCCTCCAGGCCTTTAGGTGGCGGTAAGACGCTTAAATTGGGTTTGCCGCCACACTGAAAGATAGAGTTAAAGCTAGAATGCAGATCCATGCATTATAGTAGAAATAAGAATTTTTTCATGTAAAGTTTACAGTGAAGTCCTGCACCGAAGGACTCTGGGTAAGTAAGCTTTCAATGTCCTGAAGAAACTGGAACCCTAGAGTGAAAAAGCTACATGCTTATGCTAAGTGCAAAGGAAATTTACAATAAAATCACAATATTGGTTGAAAATAATGACAAATTTATAATCAATTAAAAAATAAGAATTTATTTTCTATTTTCTGATCTCTGCAGTATTTAGTTTACCTTGTTTTATGATTTAATTAACCTTTTTTCCCAGCATATTATTTGAATAAATGTCCGTGCTTATTAGATTTCCCCTAAAAAAAAAAATTTTATATAGTAAATTTTATATATAGTAAACTTTTTGTAAATAACTCTTTCCATGAAAGAAGATAAATTGCAGTTTTTTTGAAAACGTTTTTTTCTTAGATTTGGTATCGAGTTTAGAATGTCATCCCTAGAACTAGGTAGTTTACAGTTTTAGATCCTGCCTCCCCCTCAGGCGCTCCGTGGACTCACCCTGTTCCTCCCACGTTCTTCTGTCTCCTGCAGGGCTCCATTGTGCGGCCCGGTTTTGGCTTCATGAGAGACGGGGCGTCTTTGGGAATGCTGAGGGAGATGCTGGTGATGATCCGGATCTGGGGTCTGCTGAAGCCCGGCTGCCTCCCCACTTTCACGGCCATGTCAGACAACCAGGACAGCATGCAGCTGCTGTTCAGACTGCTCACCAAGCTGTGGCTGTGCTGTAAGAGACGTAGTCCTGATCTTACACAACACCTTACCAAACACTGCAAACACTGATCTAAAAATAAGTAAAGATTTCTTAAGATAGGTGAAATTGATCTTGTTTATACTATGGAATGAGTGGTTTTGCCCTTAGAATTAAATAATTACATGTAATAAACTTGAAATAAATTCATATTTTAAACATAAATCATCTTAATTTTATTGAAAAACTGACTTACCCATTAAAAACAATGGAAAATAATCACATTCCAGAAAAATGACTTGGAGAGCTGTAACATAAGTGATGCATTTAGAGACACTGGGAAAAAAACATGTTTACAGTGAATAATAGTTCTGTTTCTACTTATGGATTTAGTTACATCACCCAGTCCTCTTTTACTTTGAGGTACATTTTGATCTGAAACACCAATAGCTAACCCCCCCTTCTGTCTGGCAGCTCGGGAGGATGGCACCTCCCAGGAACCTGACGAGAGCCTAATAGACGAATGTTGCCTTCTGCCCAGCCAGCTGCTGGTTCCCAGTATGGACTGGCTCCCAGTGAACGATGGGATCATTGTGAAGCTGCAGGGTAAGCTCCCCCTCCGGCTGCAGTTTGGAAGAGCCTCATCGCTGCAGGTAGTGGGAGGCACCGCCCCTCTGGACGTCTTCACCAGGTAAAGCTCCCCTGGCAGCTGTAGCGGAACGTCATCAAGCTGCAGACAGACTGATCTTTGATTGTGTTCAGGAGTCCCGGAGCTCAGAAGATGGACAACCTGCGCTGCATCCACATGGGCGTCAGTCCCACCGAGGAGAGTAAAGTGTGCACCAGGTGAGTCCGCAGGAAGTGACATCACTGCATCTCAGTTATCCATCATGGTTGGCATGTTGGAAGCAGAATCTGCTCATTCTGAAACGTCACCTGTAATGTGCTAAACTCCTCCCCCTCCAGGTGCGGCTGTGTGACGATGCTGCGATCTCCCAACAAGACGAACGCCATGAAGCAGTGGGAGCAGCGCTGGATCAAGAACTGCCTCTGTGGGGGTCTGTGGAGGAGGATCCCGCCAACGTTCTCCTGAACCCCCCCCCCGTAGAAGGGGGCCAGAACCTGACGACCTGATTACTCCTGTGAGGCTGCAGTGCCCCCGTTTCCTGTAAATAAAACCTGTTTTTCTAGCAAAAGTATCCAAGTCTGTCGTCTGTAGGTGGAGGTGACCTAAAAAGAATTTACCCCTGACCTTAGTTTTATTTTTAATGGTTTTAATCTTATTTTGTGTGATGAATCTGAAAAAATAGTGAAAATATAATTAAATGAGATTAGAAAAATATAGTGAAATTATAGGAAAAATATAAAAACAAAGCTCCTAAATGTTCTGATGCAAACAGTTTGTTTTTGAAACCACATAATTAGTGAAAAAATGTAAGCAGATGCGCCCCTTTATGAAACTGGAGTACTTCTCCCTAAATATCCAAATTTTTTATTGTTATCTTCAAATGGAAAGATCCTCGTACCAAAACCAACCTGACTGTCGCATAAAACTAAAGTTTAACTTCTTAGCATTCAATAAAACTTCTGTCTGCCCCAAATCATCTCCAGCAGTACACCATCCCCACAGTAAAACATGATGCTAGCATCATGCTGTAGTAGCAGCACGGCCTGGAAAACTGATTCCAGTCATAATAAAGCTGGATGGTGCTAAATACAGGAATATTCTGGAACAGAACCTGCCAGTCTGCCTGTGATACAAAGTGGGACAGAGGTTCTTCCAGGAGGACAGTAGCCAGAAGTTAATCACAAAAAAGTTTGGCAACTTTCACAATAAGATTCAAAGTAGTCAGAAACTAAAAGCAGAATAAATGCAAGATTAAATGAAATAAAAAAAATATCAGAATTAAAAGAAGAGCTTTTGGCTGGCCTAGTCTGTGGGTCTCAGTCAGGCCAAGTTGCCACCTTCAGTTTTATAATTTGCATTGGGCTAATCAGCAGATCTTGATCTCAAGGCTCTAATAGAGGTAAAAGGATGTTATTATTCAGAGATAAAGACAGATGTCTGGCTATGCAGAGCTCTACACTAAAAAAAAGTAATGCAATCGTTTTTGGTATTTACTTCATCATATTTAGCTACTTTAGCGCAATTGTTCTATGTCGTATCCTGCTAACATTAAACAATTGCGTTAAAGTAACTAAATATGATGAAGTAAATACCAAAAATGCTTGCATTATTTTTTTCAGTGTAGAATCAAAACTGACATCTTGCACTGCAAAAAAATTAAATCTAAGTGAATTTTTCAATTTTTTCTTGAATTGAGCTGTGAGACACTTTGCCAATGGAATAAGACTATTTACATTTAAAATAAGAAAAAAAATGACTGTCGTCTCTTTATTTCCAGCGCATTATACATGATTATCTTATTTTAAGCCTAAACATACTGATTCCATTGGCAGACATCTTATATACCCACTCATATTAATAGTCATAGTCATTCCAAAAAAGGAAAATTAAAAACAATCCACTGGACTTTGTTTCCAAGTTTGAAGACTTTTCGCTTCCCATCCAAAGAAGCTTCTTCATTTCAAAATGTCAGGTATAGCTTTGAGTTTGAGGCTTTATACAGTAGTCTTTTAAAAACATGCAAATTGAAACGTACGAAGGGGTCCACCCTTTGGAATGGGGGTCATTTGGATTCTTTTGTTAGCCTGCAATGCCCCATACCTGTCTAAGTGTCTGAAAGGGGGGTCGTTAAAGGGAATTATTAGCCTGGGTGAATAGGAGAGGTCTTCTGCTCTTATGAAAACATTTTGGTGGTGGTCTGATCAGGTCAGCATACAAGTAAAGTGCATTCCAGACAAGATAAAAAAAAAAAAAAAAAACATGAGTTAAGATTTTATCTCATGCCGAAAGGAAGATGAACTGACTGACAAACCAGAGATCTGAGATAATGTTCTGACATAAAAATGATAACCTCACCATTTTCTTCATTTAATTGAAGAAAATTTTCAGTCATTCATCCTATGGAAACCTGCCAAAAAGGTTATAGCAGACAAGAGCACGGCCCTTTTTAAAGCACAACCTGAAACAATTCTGTATCAATAACTAAAGTCACAGAACATGCATCTGCATCACTGCATCCAAATATCACTGGCTCTAATAAGGGCTCTATGAGTGAGGTCTATAACTAATGTGAGAGCAGAGCAGCACGAGAGCCGTTGAAAGGACAACATTTAAATGTTGAAATGATCTAACCAGAGTTAAGAATTAACAATTTGTGGTTAGATTTAAAGAACACTGGCCATATATGAATACCAATCCAGACAGATGGCACCAGATAGAAGAGGAAGATCCAGAGAGACTGATCTAGAAAGAGACCGATTTAGAGAGAAAGAGATCCAGGAAGTCTAAAGAAGAAAGTCTGACCAATCCAAGGAGACTGATCTGAAGAGACTGATCCTGATACACCAATCTAAGGAGATCGATCTAGATTGACTGGTCCAGGAAATTGATCCCAACAGAAACTATGGGGATCGAACAGTTTGATGATTTCGAACATTTTTCACACCCAGTGACCCAGTCCAAGCCAAGGAGGAGGAGACATTAGTAGCCCACTGGTACCACTCACAGCATTACATCTAGAACCATGGAACCAACACAAGAGCTTGGACCGCTGTAGGAGATCAATGCAACAGAATCTGGAGATCCTGCATAGTAGGGAGTGTTGGCCCAGTGGTTAGAGCCCTGCACTTATGCTCTGAGAAGATTGCAAGTTCGATCCCCACATCCTCCACTCTGTGTCCCTGAGCAAGACCCTTAACCCCACACTGCTCCCCAGGCGCTGCAGAATGGCAGCCCACTGCTCCCCAAAGGGGATGGGTTAAATGCAGAGGTGAATTTCTCCAGTGTGATATTATTATTATTATTATTTTAGTTCACTGAGAGGATTCCAGCTGACATCTGATCTGATAAACTACCTGGATTAAAAGATCTGAGGTTCTGTAGCTGGTTCTCCATGTTTGTCAGGTGTTCTGGTTGTAGGTCAGAACCATTAGAGCCAGTTTGCTCTCAGAAGCTGCCTCTCTCTCTCCTCTGTCTTTCTCTCTCTGTCCCCACATACACACGTGCACGCGCAGACGCACGCCCCCGCCGCGCAGCAGCTTCCCCACCAGCCAGAAAACGTTGACAGATCTCAGGTTTCAAATCAGACGAACGCATTGAAAACCCAAACCGCATGGGTCGGAACCGACACTTCCAGCACCCAAACTGACTGGACCAGAGCCAAAGGCCCGCGATCCACTAGAGCAGGTATCCTGCTGAGGCGGTCCGGTTCTGCAGCAGAGATCCGGAATCCCAGCGGCTCCATGATCTGAGGTGAGACCAACCCGTTCTCCTCCATCGATGCGTGTTTGGCTATGCATGCGCACGCGTTGCGGGTTAAGAATGGGAACATTTCAGGAGCGATCCGGATTATCCGCTCCGCAAAGATATGAATCCTGCACGCGCCGCAGTAACATCTGTATCCCAGTGTTCTGATTGGTGGGAGGTTAATTGGCAGTGAGCCTGAGGTGGTTGATCTGAGGAGGATGATGATGGGAAACCTCCATGTTTCTATGACAGATGTCCATGTTCTGTTCCGGTCCATTAATGGACCTGCACAGCTCTCCAGTATTGCACCTTTCCATTGTAGAACTTGTGGACCGTTCCACAGCTTGCTGATGGTCTTAGGGCTGATCCAGCACAAAGCCAAATCATCCAGGGTAGATTTAACTGCTTCCAGATCAAACAGCTCCAGTATAAGGCCTGATCCCATCTAATTTAAAGGCTGTTGCTGTCTAAGACCTCCTTATTTTCAGTTTCTTGCAAAAATAGAAATTGAACATCCACAGCATAAATGCAGACCCACCTTCATAGAATCAAAACAACCAGAGATGCAGCAGCCATCTGTTAAATCTATGCTCTGTTCTAGCAGCCCAGTTTGGGCTTTCCAGAACCATGCAGAGCTTTAGTCGTCTGCATCTTATCGGTATTTCAGGAAAACATTGCAGAAACATGTTTTTAATCATATTATTTTTAAATGTTTTGGACATTTAGTGTCATGATCTGGCCTGTTTGCTCTCCCTTAATTAGTCATTCCTTTCACCTGTTCTCCCTCCCTGCCTCTATTATAATTTATTCCTCTCACCTGTTTCCTCTTGGTTATATTCATTTCAGCCTGAGCATTCAGTGCCAGATCATTACTTGCTTTTCTGTTAGCCTGTCAGTTTTATTCCTTGGTTTCTGTCCTGGAAAGAGGGTTTTTGTGTTTGTCTCGTCTCCTAATCGTCCACTTTTCCTCCCCCGCGGTGTCCTCTGGGTTTTTGGCTCTATATGTAGGGAGGTTCAGTTTTTATCCAAGTAAAAGGAATGACTAATTAAGGGAGAGCAAACAGGCCAGATCATGAAATTTAGTGAGAATCCTGCTCTAATCTAGATCCAGTTAGAGACCAGACACGGATCTATAGGAGATTAGGAAACTCTGGTAATTTAAGGATGGATAATCATTGGATTTAAGGCAGTAATATTTCCCCTTTTCACTGGTTTCAATTCAAACTCAGTTGAGATTTGGAGTCCCACAAGGCACTATTATCAGTCTGTCACAAGGAACGATCGCGGATAAGACCGACACTTCTTCATGTCAAGGCTGACAGGTTTATGGGATCACTCATTTATTAACTGATAATGTGCCTGTGCGTAAAAAGTTCTGTAGGTGCCGATTGCCAAGGAAACACTTAAACTTCAAGTTTAAGTGTTTCAAGTGGTTTGAGTTTAAACCATCCAGTATTCTTCCCAACCACTGCAACATCTATATGAATCACGGACACTCTGTTAAAACTGGACAAAACTGGACAACTAGACATTTAGAACCAAGTCTTAACTTATTGTTAAATGAAAATAGAAATCCCCTGTTTTTCTTCTTCCACTCTTCTTCAACTCAAATGGCTTGCTCATATGTCAGTTCCTCTAATCCTGCTTGTGGTGAACTCACTTTCCAGATATTCAATCTTCAATCTAACCACTCCCAGGTGCGGATAAACCATAGCTGGATAAACAGC